ACCTTATATTGGAGCTATGACCAATTATGGTCCTATTCGGAAAAATTGCGTAGAGTGATTCATATTTATACTAAACATATCTGTGTCGAATTTTATCATGATAGCTTTATTTGACAATGAAAATGAGCTTTTAAATGATTTTCGGAAGTGGGCCTTATATGGGAGCTATGACCAATAATGGACCGATCCGTAAAAAATTTGGTGGAATGATTTGTATGTATACAAAACATATTCAACTCGAATTTTATCACATTAGCTTTATTCATCAATGAAATATGTGCGTTTAGGTGATTTTCGGAAGTAGACCTTATATGGGAGCAATTGTGGACCGACTGAGATCTACGTTGATATTATGATTTCTGTACAAAATTTTGTGTTGATACCGATATATTTGAGGAAGTTATTAACGATAAACTAATTTTCGGAAATATACCTTTGTATGGGGGCTATGGGAAATATTGGATCGACTATAAAGATTTTGAACATAATTGATCACTGCCCTGAAAAAATAATGTGTGACAAAATTCATCGTAACTAACTTTAACTTTTTACGTGTTGAACCGATTTTGCTGATTTTCAACTGCTTAGGATACTAACAAATATTTTGGGTGAATTTGGTTGATTTCCTTTGCTTAGTTTTAACGTGAGCGTGTTTTACACAGACAGACAGACGGACATAGCTAAATCAGAAGGACCCAGAAGATATATAATTTGTTGGGTCTTAGATGAATATTTCTTGGTGTTACACACGGAACGACAAACTTATATATACCCTCTATCACCACTGATGGTGGTGGAGGGTATAAAAAAGTGAGCAATTACTAAACGTAGATTTAGTGGAGGGTAGTTACAACAACGTTACTAATAATCCCAGTGAAGATTATTTTGATGCCGATGATGATGATTTTTCTGATGGTCAACCGGATGATGATGTTTCCCCAGATTACGTACCAGATGATACTCTTGAAGAAAATGTTCCACAATCCACAGAAAATAATGAAGTCCGTCGTTCCGAGCGGCTCCGTAGACCAGTCAATATGACAGACTTTCATGCTTATACAGTGCAGGCAAATGTAAGTGATGATCCGATAACAGTACAGGGCGCCCTAAATCGAAGTGATGCTAGCCAATGGAGAGAAGCCATGGAGAGTAAATTGAATCGTTAACAGATAATCAAACTTGGACACTGGTAGACTTGCTCATTGGAGCTAAGCCTTGAAATGCAAATGGGTATTCAAAACCAAGTCAACGAAATTGGTTGGTTATAAAAGGTTATAAAAGGTTGTTCACAGAGACCAGGAATTGATTACCAAGAAACGTACTCTCCGGTAGTTCGTTACACTTCAATAAGGTATTTATTATCTGTTGCAGCCCATTTTGATCTCGACATCGGACAAATGGGTGCTGTAACTGATTTTACAAGGTGATTTGTCTGAGGAGATTTTTATGGAACCCACAGAGGGAGTTAAAGTCACACAATGGGTAAAGTCTGCAAACTCAACAGAGCGATCTATGGATTAAAGCAGGCAAGTCGTGAGTGGAACCGGAAACTAGACCAGGCTTTAAATTAAATTAATTTACAACGCTCGAAGCACGTTGCCGAAACCCAAATGTTTTTTATCGCAGTGTATGTTGACGATCTGTTAATTTTCTCAAATAACAACGAATTGAAATCCAAAGTTAAAAGTGAGCTACGGCACCGGTTTTTAACCGTCTTGTCTATACCCGAGCAAAATTACGTACATCAATACCCAACATACCCGGGTATGTCATACAATTTATATGGCTATTTCATATGTTTATACATTTCTAGTGTATAATTCAGATAATTATTAAAACTAATTTAATAAAACGTCTGTATATATAAATTAAATAGTTTTTGATCATAAACCATTAAATTTTAGCAATTTTTTTAAAGTTTTCTTATTGCTTTCCTGTTAACAAAAATGTCATATGCAAAAAACTTAAAGAAAAACGCCTTCATAACGTATAGTGTGCATTATGCAGAATTTAACTTTGTAAAATTTTGACTTCAAGAAGCTATTACTCTGTGACCGGGAAAGATATTTGAACAAAACTCGATTCGCATTAAAGAAATTATTTTTGCTTTCGTAAGTAAGGAACTTTTTTGCAAAAAAAGATTGCTTTACTAAGATACAAGAATATATATAATTCTAATAATTTGAAAAAGGTGACAAAATGCCACCCTGTGGTATACCGCGAAATACCTTTTTCCTGATAGTTATATCGTACATTTCGCCGGTTATCCATCTGTTCCTTAGCATGTGGTTGATCCAGTTACGGAGCACCCGGTCAACATAAAACTGGTCTAAGGATTGGATAAGAGTATAAGTGTGCACCTATGTAGTGGACAACTTCGTTTAAAGCGGTTTCCACCGATCGTCCCTTTACATAAGCATGCTGCTTAAATTTTAGGTCTTTGTCGGGTATACTGCTTTTAACCATACTATCGACTACTCGTTCCAAGGTTTTAAGTAGGAAGGACCTATGACTTATCGGTCGATAAGACTTAGGTGTGGAATAGCTAGGTTTCCCTGGTTTAGGTATAAATATAACCCTTGCATCCTGCCATTTAATGGGGTTATATGAGAATTTCAAGCATGCAGTGAATATCTGATACAGATGTACGGAAACCAGTCCCGATTCCATCTGTAAGTGTGCCGGGAAAATGCCATCCGGCCCTGCAGCTTTATAGGGAGCGAAGCTCTTGATTGCCCCTTTAACCATATCAGATGTAATTACAATTTCCGTGTTAGCCTCCCCTTCCTCCAATATCGGTTTATCTATGTTATTCGATATACCGGATGGGAAATGAGAGTCCATTAGGAGTTTCATCGTCTCCTCCATATCCTCCAGCCTCCTGCCCGTATCATCAACCATAGATTCCGGTTAGACATGAGTTTTGGATAGGAATTTTTTTATCTTCGATAAAATTTACGCTGTCTACATGTTCACAGAAAAGTTTCCAGGAGTCTCGTTTGGCTTTACGGACGATTTTCTTATATTCACCAAGTTTACTACGATACTCATCCCAGTTACTGCGGTCTTTTTACGCACAAAGTTAACAAATCCTTCAATTACAAGAGATTTCAAGAAGCTTGAAAATATACCATACCAAGAGGCAGTTGGAAATTTACTTTTTTTGGTACAGGGTATTCGACCCGATATAGTTTATTCCGTTAATTACCTCAGCAAATTCAACAACACTTTCGACAACTCACATTGGATGGCAGTAAAACGTATTCAAAGTGTGCTGATTTAAAAATGTTTGGTTTTTGAGTTGCCGACTACGCTTGTGATCCAACAGATAGGCGATCTTCTTCAGGCTATGTTTTTTTACAAAAAGGAGTAATAAGTTGGTGTAATAAACGGCAATCAACTGTGGCTCTATCTACAACCGAAGCCGAGTATATGGCTATGTCCACAGCCGTCCAAGAGGCAGAATGATTACGTCAACTCCACAGCGATTTGTGGAATGATACACAAAACAACATGCGACAACAAAAGCGATTTGAGTTTGGCAAAAAGTGATGCTTTCCATGGACGGTCTAAACACATTGATGTTCGCCACCATTTTCATCGAGAAAAAGTTAGCTGTCGACAATTAATATTGGAATATAAAAAGTCCGAAGAAATGGCTGCTGATTTCCTGAATAAACCTGTAACCAAAGAAAAACACCTGAAATGCGCCAGGATGTTGGGCCTTTCCAAAGTTTAGCCAGCTTTTAGTGGAGGTGTTGGAGTGAGAAAATCTGGCATCACTGTTTCTATTTTTATACCCTACACCACTTTAGTGGGGAGGGTATACTGGGTTTGTGCTGATGTTTGTAACGCACAATAATATTGGTCCTATATCACCTTAAAGTATACCAATCGGCTCAGAATCATTTTCTGGCTCGATTTAGCTATGTCCGTCCGTCTGTCCGTCCATGTAAACCTTGTAATCAAACTATAGGTCGCAATTTTGAAGATAATTCAATGAAATTTGGTACATGATCTTCTATTGTCTATTGAAAATGGTTAAGATCGGTCCATTATTTCACCTAGCCCCCATACAACTGAACCCCCCAATAGGGCTTGTAATCCTTGTAATCAAACTACAGGTCGCAATTTTGGAGATAATTCAATGAAATTTGGCACATGATCTTTTATGGTATCGTAGACGAAGCCTATTGAAAATGGTTAACATCGGTCCATTATTTCACCTAGCCCCCATAGTACAAAAGTATTTTAATATTTTTTGATATAAATTAAAGTAAAATATCCACAAATACAAGAAGTTAAACTACTTGAAAAATCACTAAAAAATGTGTGTGAGTGTGTTCGCGAAACAACTATAGAATTTTTTATCACTTGCTCACAATTGAAATATATTTACGTACCTTATTTCGTAGAAATTTCGTAAAAATTAATAATAAATATGTATATCTTCGGTGGACTGTATGGTTACCAAGGGATGATGGAGTGAAGATGCCAAAAAATCCGATAAATGATTCAAGAAATCCGGTTCGCTAGGACCAAATGTTCAGCTCCACCACAATTTCTCAAGATTTTATGAAAATAAAACAATATTTGTAATTTTAATGAGACGTAGATCTCTCTGTATTTATTTATATTTTACCTCGTAGAAGCAATAACGCCAAGAGCACGTAGTGCTTATGTTGACGATCAGAAAAGAAGTGTATTTAATTTACAAAACGTAGCAAGCAATATTTAGGTACCGTTAACGGTTTACTCGTTAGAATCTTCCAACAAAGTTGCAAATAAGGCGGAGTTTAATAAGATTCTAACGTTGCAAAAATTAATATTTGCATATGTTATCAAAACAAGTGTAAACCATAAATCGAAATTGAACAATTAGTCTTCGTTTCATCGGACCATTTTCCAGTCATCAACACTCCGATTTTTGTGCTTCTTGAAACAATTTAAGACGACCCTTAAAATTTTTTTCTGATAACGCTGGTGTTTTCTGATTTAAGGTCAATTCTACGAAGAGCTCTGCGGGCTGTCCATTCACTTAAGGGCTTATTTATGGCAACATGAGCCTGGTGGTGTTTTTACCTGTTTGGATGTCAATAAACGCTCCATATTTTTGAGTTTCTCCCGATATGAGGATCATTATTTTCTTCAATCCGATCTAAACAATTTCTTTTCGTGGTGCAATCAAAACTTAATGGATTTAAATTTAAAAAAATGTAAACTTATGCGATTTTCCAGAAATAATTACATTCCTGCCAACTATACTTTAGGAAATTACCAGCTCGAATCTGTTTAAACCTTTCTTGACTTCGGAATTTTACTGGATCATAAATTAAACTTTTTTTCACACATTACCATGACTATAAATAAGGCTAGAGGTGTACTTGCATTCATAAAACGTTGGGCTAAGGAATTCAGTGATCCCTACATCACTAAACAACTTTACATTTCCTTAGTAAGACCTATACTGGAATATGGCTCTGTTATCTGGGATCCTTATTACAATATTCATATACAGCGTATAGAGTCTGTAGAAAAACAGTTTCTGCTATTCTGTTTACGTGGTCTGCCTTGGAGTCCTGATGTGAACCTACCATCCTACACTGACAGACTTAAATTAATAAAGCTAACTACACTGCACAGTAGAAGAACTATGCTTAATGCTTATTTATGATTAATATAATTAATGGCGAAGTCTGTTCAGAATTTCTTGTAAATAATGTTACTTTTAACATTCCTCAACGATCGTCTCTTCATTTTAAGCCACTTTATATCAGAAATGCTAGAACTAATTATGCCCAAGCTGATGCGTTAAGGAGATTATGCTGTGACTATAATAATCTTTTTCATATAATAACAAAAATAACATAATTCATTTTTTAAATAATTCATTTATGTAATTGTTAACTATTTGTATATTATTATAAAAGTCTGTAAGGATTTAATCCATTGACTTATAAATAAATAAATAAATAAATAAATAGCACATAGGTCTAGAAATAAGCAATTTATGGCCAAAACTCAAATCGCGCAATTACTTTTTTGGTACCGCAGTATTAAAGTAAACACTTGAAAGATTCTAAAATGTACTTTTTTTGGAAAAACTACTACACATTAGACCGCGACAAAACAAAAGTAAAATATTTTTATAAATTAAAAAAACATATATTTCTAAAACGTTGGTATTATTCTTTCCCAACAGATTTTTTAGTTAAAGAAAGAATACATTAAACATATTACTTATTTAAATTAATTATGATAATATAGGTTTTACTTGTGAAACGATAAATATAAAAATATATGGCTGATGTACAAAATATAAGATAATTTTAATATTTCTTGCCCCTTTAGTGAAAAATTTACATTATTTAAAAAAATTAATAATAAAACAAAAATGGTTATAGTGTTGAGAAAAATATAGAAAATCGATATCAGACCAATCTGTTGGGAAACATTTGCCATGAATTAGTTTTAACATAACTTGCCCGTTTAGTTATAAATTCACATTTAAAAAAATATTATCTGATTTTTATTAGAGACTTCTATTACGAATAAAACAAATTGGTTAAAAGAGTTGAGAATAATAAAATAACCAGAAATATTTCGCCATAACTTGCACGTTTAATTAAAATATGTATTTTTTAAAAACAATTTTCTCTTAAATTTTTTTTTCAAAAATATTATTTTTTGGTTCGAATTTTTATAGGGTCTTGAATTAAGAATAAATCTATATTAGACCAATTTGTAGGGAAATATTTGCCATTAATTAATTTTAACATAACTTGCTCGTTTAATTACAAATGGGCTGTTTTTAAAGCTTATTTTTGCTTAAAAAATAAAAAAATTCAAAAATACTCCCAAAATTTTAATTGGTCACAAAAGGGTTAAAAACGCGAAAATTTATATAAACCTTCCACAAAATTAGGACATAATAAATGTCCAATTAAAAAAATTATTTGTATAGTTTTGCCCAAAAAACATGATAAACCAGACCTATGTGCATAGTTCTGGCATCTCTCTCCGAAAGCAAGCACCATCGACCTTTCTTAACTTCAGGTGTGCTTATATTTTTTCTTTTTCGCACTTGTAGCACTCTTCGGTGGCAAATTCCGAACTTCTTGGCAAATTGGCGAGTACAGTAATTATTCTTTGTCATTTCAACCATTTGGTTTTCTTATTAAAACTTGAAAATTTAAATTACAAATTTGACACAAAAATGTTAGCTGTTTGTTTTGATGCTTTTTTCAATGGTAAATCAAGTAGCAGTACTCAAATTCATTGCTATTTTTGAATTTATTTGTGTTGCTAGATTAACTAAATTTAAACGTGCAAAAGTGGATACATTGACTTTATTAATAAAATTGGCTAATACTTGAAAAAAAGTTTCAATACTGCTTATTTTAAATCAAATATCTATTTTTTTTAATATTTTCTGGATTTTGTAGGGGTTTTAATATAAACTTGATTGATATGTATCCAGATATGCTCGTCACTGTATATCTAAAATTAATATTTTAGCGAATTTAAAATTTAAAGAAATTTTTCTTTTGGTAAATTCAAACATAACATGTAAAACAAGTAAGAAAGTATAATCGGGCGTGACCGACCTTATGATACCCTACACCAGTTATGAATATTAAATGTGATTTATTTTTCATAATAAAGCATTTATCTTCTATTACCTTGTTCAGATACATTTAAGCAATTTATGGATGAAAAACTAATTTTCAGAAAGAGGCTTTATAGGGGGGGCTAGGGGCAAATATGGACCAAGCCCTATAAAATTTTGCAAATATATATGTATATTTACATAATATTTTTTTGTGTTGAATTTCATTCCGATATTTGTGTTTATAAGTTAATCTTGGTCATTCAAGAAATTTTCTGAAGGGGACTTTGTATGGGAACTAGGGTCAAGGTCATCAAGGCTTGTATAAAACTTAGTTGTGCCGCTTTTTATCAATATACAGGTATATTTAACATAATTATGAGCTCAGAAGCCCTTTTCGGGGGGATCTGTTGTATGGGGGACCGATTTTAACCATTTTCAATAGGCTTCGTCCGAAAAAAGAGTGTGTGCCAAATTTCATCCAATTATCTTGAAAATTGTGACCTGTACCTTGCGCACAAAGTTTACATGGACAGCCAGCCAGACAGACGGACGGACAGACGGACATAGCTTAATCGACTCAGAAAACGATTCTAAGCCGATTGGTATACTTTAAGGTGGGTATAGGACGAATATTTTTGTATGTTACAAACATCAGCACAAACTTAATATGTTTAGCAATGCGAATATTTACTACTCTGTTTTTTCTTCTATTCTTTTTGTTATACTTTGTATTTTGAACTAAACTGATGTTTCATTCCTAAATAAACTTTGAATTGTCCACACGTGTCGTCTTTACTTGAAAAAAATCAGAGGCAAGAGTACAGTATCCCAACAAAAATACTACATCATTTTCCATACTTTTTTTGCTGGGATGTTATGTATTAGTACCTTTTTGAGTATAAAAGTTTAGGGAGTATATTGGTAAAAAGTGACCTTTTGGTACGTCATGCAATTACATCCAAAGGTGAAAGTACCCACACACATGGTGCGCGGCAACGCGTTATAGGCTGCTGTCAAAAAAAGTTGAAGTTGTGTATTTTTATTAAACAAGTTACACATTGTAGTTTGAAACGCGTCTGCCGCGAAAAGTTCAGCAACAGATTTTTTAGTTAAAGAAAGAATACATTAAACATATTACTTATTTAAATTAATTATGATAATATAGGTTTTACTTGTGAAACGATAAATATAAAAATATATGGCTGATGTACAAAATATAAGATAATTTTAATATTTCTTGCCCCTTTAGTGAAAAATTTACATTATTTAAAAAAATTAATAATAAAACAAAAATGGTTATAGTGTTGAGAAAAATATAGAAAATCGATATCAGACCAATCTGTTGGGAAACATTTGCCATGAATTAGTTTTAACATAACTTGCCCGTTTAGTTATAAATTCACATTTAAAAAAATATTATCTGATTTTTATTAGAGACTTCTATTACGAATAAAACAAATTGGTTAAAAGAGTTGAGAATAATAAAATAACCAGAAATATTTCGCCATAACTTGCACGTTTAATTAAAATATGTATTTTTTAAAAACAATTTTCTCTTAAATTTTTTTTTCAAAAATATTATTTTTTGGTTCGAATTTTTATAGGGTCTTGAATTAAGAATAAATCTATATTAGACCAATTTGTAGGGAAATATTTGCCATTAATTAATTTTAACATAACTTGCTCGTTTAATTACAAATGGGCTGTTTTTAAAGCTTATTTTTGCTTAAAAAATAAAAAAATTCAAAAATACTCCCAAAATTTTAATTGGTCACAAAAGGGTTAAAAACGCGAAAATTTATATAAACCTTCCACAAAATTAGGACATAATAAATGTCCAATTAAAAAAATTATTTGTATAGTTTTGCCCAAAAAACATGATAAACCAGACCTATGTGCATAGTTCTGGCATCTCTCTCCGAAAGCAAGCACCATCGACCTTTCTTAACTTCAGGTGTGCTTATATTTTTTCTTTTTCGCACTTGTAGCACTCTTCGGTGGCAAATTCCGAACTTCTTGGCAAATTGGCGAGTACAGTAATTATTCTTTGTCATTTCAACCATTTGGTTTTCTTATTAAAACTTGAAAATTTAAATTACAAATTTGACACAAAAATGTTAGCTGTTTGTTTTGATGCTTTTTTCAATGGTAAATCAAGTAGCAGTACTCAAATTCATTGCTATTTTTGAATTTATTTGTGTTGCTAGATTAACTAAATTTAAACGTGCAAAAGTGGATACATTGACTTTATTAATAAAATTGGCTAATACTTGAAAAAAAGTTTCAATACTGCTTATTTTAAATCAAATATCTATTTTTTTTAATATTTTCTGGATTTTGTAGGGGTTTTAATATAAACTTGATTGATATGTATCCAGATATGCTCGTCACTGTATATCTAAAATTAATATTTTAGCGAATTTAAAATTTAAAGAAATTTTTCTTTTGGTAAATTCAAACATAACATGTAAAACAAGTAAGAAAGTATAATCGGGCGTGACCGACCTTATGATACCCTACAC